AAATGCCTGGCACCCATTCATCTGCTGAGAATACAACAAAGGAAAACCTGTCAGATGCGTATCATAATATCAGCAACTGTCGTTTTTCCCGCCATACAAGTCCATTGAACTCTACATGCATATGTGTGCATAATTACCATTTTGCTTACACAAAAACACTAATTCAGTGTGCCACAAAGCACCAGATGGTGTTACATCTTTCTTCAATCAGAGGGTGTGCTGTGCGTATATTGATTGTTGAGTCGCTCTCCGTGATGCCCATAAATGATTAGAAGGTTTTCGTCTATACTTTGTGGAGACTTGAAAATGTACGTCCTCATGAATGCAGCACATACAGAAATAACACACCTGACAACGTAGTAGAAACACAACTCCTGTAATATACGCCATGAAAAAGACTAAATGGGCTTTTGCATGCTGTCTGATAATTTTTTGTTTTTGATTTTTCACCAGAATTCCCACTGACAATTCATTTTATCTGCAATCTTTGGCTAGAAAACTTCTAATAGGTTTTAAACTCTCTGGGTTTTAGATCAGTTGAACTTTTTACTACAAGCCTATTTTTAAATTCTTTATGTATTTAAAACAGAAGAGACAGAATCAGGCCTGCGTTTCATTACTGCTCCTGTTCTGGTTTTGGGCCCATATTTCCGTTTTTATTTTCCGTTCTAGTGGAGAGCTGTGAAGAAGGAAGTTCAGGGCATAATATTATAAGTGAGTGCCGCTCATTCTTGGGTCCCTCTTTTAAGATGCCTTAAAATTTATTGGATTCAGGCTTCTGTGCTACTTCAAGGTTTAGGGTCAAAAAGCCTGGAGGAACTGGGAGATGCTGGTATCCCTGGAAGAGCACAATAAAGCAGAAAATGCTCCTAGTCTCTGGGAAATAACCACATAAGGTATCGCTGCATGCAGAGTTTTTCAGTGTTTCATGTATAAATACTGCATACATGTATAGTTTCTCAGAAATAATCTACTGTAGGTCTCACCTGTTGACATTTTCTGTAGAAGATCCTTCTAATGAAGACCGTATTGTGACATCATGAAATTAACAAGAACAAGATCATATCACTCTCTGTTCCACACCCTATAAATGATGATGATCTTTACGCCAGCTCTACACCACATTACAGCAGCTTCTGTTTTGGTTATGCTACTGTACTCTTAGGGAAACTAGGAAGATAAGGACCTTTTAGATATCGCTGTGCAGTTGAGATTAAAACCCCTACTGATCTGTAATCTTTACATGAGGCGGAACAGTACTTTGTCAAAGGAGCAATGGCAAATGGTCATTTGGTTAGATTTGAGGCACTTGAATTCATAATCATAAAAAATGTATTATGAAAAGGTGTTCATCGTAAAAAGAATGCAAAAAATGGAAATATTCTCTGGAATTTTTAGCCAGGAATTGAAAATGTATCTGGCCTGTAGCAAACCAGAATTATAACAGTAGATGGATTCTAACTTTACATGCAATAAAAGGGAATAGAAAATGCAGTCTGAAATGCATTGAATGTACACCATTGCTCATAAATGAATAGCTAAGGAATTACCTTGAAGTCAAGATTATAATTCATTTGCTTCTGGGGATGAAGTAAAATGCATTTTTTCACAGTTAATGCTCAGTCACTGACCAGCCTATTCTAGCAGCAACACAGAATGATGATTATTGAATTTAGATAATGTACAAATTCAAAGAAACACGAAACATCATTGTGTTGCTATGAAAGCATTAGCGTGTCATTTGCATATGCAAAAATGTATTAATGGAACCTTGTTTACAAACTTCAGGTTATGCTTTTCATTTTGACTTGATTACTCCATGGGTAAACCCCAGCACAAATCAAATGTTGTCATCTATTTTCTCATTTCTCACTCCACTGCTTATCCCATATGACTAGTGTCCCCATGCTTTAATTAAATCAGAAAAAATGTTAATCAATTAGATGCTTAGGTGTCATAATGCTAGAATACCCACTGTTTAATTTTGTCCTGTCTTTCTGCGTCTGCCATTAAACTCACATTCACGGCTCTGCATCGTTTTCCAGTCTGCCTCCAGTTGAACTGCATGGCAGATTGCGGCCAATGGAACAGAGGCACAGGACTGCAGGGTTATTGCAGAACATCAAACAAAATGGAGGCAAGGCCGCTTAAAGAAAAATAAAACAGTTCAAAGCTACAGTAGCAAAAAAAAAAAAACGCAAAGAAATAAATGTGCATTTATTTCTGCTACGTCTCCACCCCATTGGCCTCCCTGAATCCACACAGCTGACCCTGTAAAATCCTAACAAAGCTATTCATCCAACCAGGCCTCAGCTGGGATACCTGGAGTCCAATAACTGGGTTATCAGCTGGCAGTGGGGCTGGTGAACAGCTGCCATACTGCCATACAAACGCCAAATACCATGGAGTCCCAGCCCAGGGCCACTGCGGAGCCTCCCGGCTCACAAGATATATATGCACAATAAATCATCCATATAAATAAAGTCCACTTGCTGTCCTGGCTAACTTCTCACACTAAGGTTGATTACCTCAATTCCAGCCCTAGGAAATAGCAAATGATAACTAATAATTACCTAACAGTTACATGCCCACTCATTTTTGGAAATAAACTGCTATGTATACCGTATAATATTTAGAGTAGTGTTATTATAGTCAATTAATGTTGTCATATGTATAAATGTTTATTGCTTAATTACAGTTGTGTATTGAATTGTTACTTGTGCCAGCAGTCTGACGGTCATGCTGAAAAATCCCTTGGTTTGCCGGCGATGTGCGTGTGGATGAACCAGGCTGTGGTGCAGCAGTCATTTAGGTTTTGAAACATTGCCCCCTACTGTCTGCTACTGCAGTACCCGAAACAGACCCTTCTGCTACGATCTGTTTGGACTGCCCTTACGCATGCCTGCGATTTACATCAGCTGTGTAGGCACACATACGCACATATACATATGTATAAAAACGTGTTTTATATGTTTACAGTATTGCGAGCTTCTTGGTGTTTTGAATTGTGTGAGAAACATCCACAGTGTACTCAAATATGGCTCTATATTTAAAGTATATACATGTGTAGATGCTGCCCCATTTATGAATGGGACATCTTGTCTCTGGCCTGTTTCTTGGTTGGAAAAAAAAGTAACAAGCTCTGCAGGAGTCAGTGCTCATGCTGGGACGCCCACAGCCTAGCTAGTGCTCATACTTGGTAGCCATATTGCATGTGGTGTTCTAGGCACCCAGATATCTTTTCTTTTTGATATATTATTGTTGTCATTCCTCTGACATATTATATACTCATTAAATGACTCCTCCAACAGTCTAAATAGAAAATTATGTTTTGGTAATATTCAAACCTCCAAGTCACTTACCTCGACAAAGAATCTGTTTTTGCTCTATAAATATTTAAGTTTTTAATTGCATAGTTTGTAATTATAGCCTAATTTTTTTGTATCCTTGATGCAAGTTAGTACCTGATGCAATATCTGTTAATATGCATATCTCTCGTGCATTTTAAATAAGAAAAGGTAATTAGTGAAAGCAGTAAGGATCCTATATCATTAAAGCAGAGGGGCGTTTTAGGTGGCAGTTTAATTAATAATTCTGATTGTGGCAGTACTTCAGGATCCCTAATGAAGTCATTAGAGAAATGGAGGAGTTGGAGTTAGCTCACATGTTTGTCGGCTTGTAGCACTTAGCCGGATGGCTGTACTGCATGAAGGACAGTGCTGGGGGCCTCCGGTTCTGGGGGGAGTGGGGGTGGGGGCAACAGTTTACCTCCAATGGACACACTGGGACATACTAGGTGTCCAAATAGTGCAAGCTAATGAGTTATTATGCACCTCACAAGTATAAATAGATAGATCATACATATGTGTGTGTGTGTTTGTATGTATGTATGTGGGCATATACATGCATTTATATATTGTTATATATATTTATATATAACAAAAAACACATAATTTATCCGTCTTAGTAAGTTACATATTTTTGGCATGTGTGGCACTCTTAGCTTGAATGTGCCGTGTGGCTCGGTATGTGTGAAAGGCCTGTCCACTTTCTCGTTCGTCATAAGACGTTAGCAACAGCAACAGGTCACAGCATCCTAATGGCTGGTCTGAAATCTCATGCTGGTCCTTTGGTCTTTGTGTGTCAATAACTCTTTGCTCCCTTCCGGGCTCAGAGTCGGTTAGGTGACATGTGACAGGGACAGTGCTGAGAGGGCCACTGGCAGCTTGGACGCTTTTCTTTTTCTTTTTTCGGCCGCGCCGCTCTGCTGCTCCCCCAGGCCTCCTCCGTCTCCCTGACTCACCGCTTCAAACCCATCACCATAAGCGCGCTTCTCACTCGCACCACATTCATGCTTCTGGCCGCTCTATACCTTCAGCTCTGAACTCCAGAAATATGATCTGTGTGCAATATAGTGAGGGAGGGCGTGCATATCTAATCACCTTTTCACAGAGTATTCCTCTGCTTTCTCTTTTTACATCTCTCTCTTGCTTTGTATTATTGGATTATTGGAGACTCTGGAATATTCCGTGTTGTGGCAGATTGTTAGCCGGAGGTTTCTAACAAGGGTGGGACAGAGGGACACTACAGAAGGCTTGATTCACATGAAGGGCAGGGGGGAAAAAAGCAGAAACAAAATGGGACAGCGCCTACAAGGATCAACATAGACCAGCGTTGAATGAATATCTGAAAAAGCAGACCTAAAAAATTAGAGAAACGTGCATATTTCTGTCTCAGCCACCTACTGTATCTGACCTTGTCTAATCAAGGTTTCCAGGGTTGTATATACAGTACATACAGACATAGTAATATTAGCCTACAGTTAGGCAAAATCATTAACACAAAGCCTATTTTATAATGAAGTGGTCAATAAATCATATAATTTATTGAATAACGTATTGAAAGTGAAAAATATTCGCTTATCGCAAACTCAAAATATTGTAACCATCGTAACCCGGAGAGCGTCTGTATACTGATTCTCTCATTATCCCCCCATGCAGAATTGCAGAGCAGTTCCTGTGGAAACCCGGGCGTCCCCCCCAAAGGAATCTTGTACGGGACGCGCTTCAATGTTGGGGACAAGATCCGCTATAGCTGTGTGACGGGCTATGTGCTGGATGGACACCCGCAGCTGACCTGCATCACCAACTCAGGCAACGCTGCTGTGTGGGACTTCCCCGTGCCCATCTGCAGAGGTGAGCCCGACCTTGACGCCTTGTCTCTCTCCGGGGTGGCAGCGTGCAAGCGAGTGTGAGGGCCGCCGAGACTGTACTGCATGCACTCCTGCTTGCCAGTGGGCGCACCTGTAATCTGTGTTTAGTGTGCATGTCTCCTTGTCTCGTATGTGGGCTGCATGAAGTGCCTCAGGATGGAATCAAAAGACTTTTTCTCAGTACGTGTGGAACTGCTGTCTGGTTCCGTGATATGAATTATTTCTTTTTGCCATATGTAGGTCAACTTCTTGAGATCCTGTTTGGGTTCATTTAGCCTTCACTACAAAGAGGGGGGAACAAACTACGAGTAAAACAGACTGACGACGTTCCTTTTTTCAAATGTTTTTTCCACACGCAAACAATTTATCGCTAGACAAAAAGAAGGGGTTGTCATGTTAGTGCCCATATTGTGAGAAATAAGATCATTTACAGAAACGATGAGCCCATTTGCATGAACCTTAAAGCTTTGACTCACATGATTTGTGCTCGGAGCTATACACAGTAATAGTTGCAGTGTCCTTGTTCTAAACATTTTGAGATTTATCGTCCTGTGTCCTGGCCAATTATACTGTCCACTATCCATGACCATTTTAAATAAGGCCCTCTCTGTAGATATCATTAGTTTTGATCCTATGCATTTAATGAGTATAGAAGACAGCAGTTACATCATGTCTATTATAATCTGGAACAAAAACAACTTCAAGTCACTGGACATTTCAGTGATTATACATTAGTGGGTTTTGTGCTATTGTCCTTGGAGGGCAGCGAAGTTCACGCTGGGATTGAATCAATATGTTTCATTTTAAAACTGGATGATTTTTAAGGCCTGTGTCTTTCACGAATGAGACAAAGGCTGGTTGAGAATTCGGGCTGACCATTCAGTCATTATTATGAATGTATTACATTTTTAGTGGAATATAATAGAGAATCAATGCTTTTAGGAATCACAGGATAACATCCTGTAGAACAGTGATGTGTAAAAACAGTGTGTATGTGAAGAGTCTGATTAATAATTGCATTTTTGGATACTGTTAGATTAGATAAGGATTACTAGAAAAATAACTTCTTTATTGTACAGTAGAATGGAAATACAATTAATGATCATGGTGATGAGATTTCTACCCATCTTTTAACATTTAATCTTACCCATTCACAATATGTGCTTTTCACATATTGAATGAGCAGGTCATTTATAATGAACAATTTGATGGGCAGCAACTCTGTTAAGAGATTACATAAAAGGCCTGTGTTTGTGTACAAATATTGTTCTACATCCCATAATGACACTGCTTGGTCTTAATTTTATTGAAAACACATGCAACGTTCACATAAAAATTTAAGTCCGTTTATCGAACAAAATAGTTTGAATAGTGTGAAAGTCATGATATCAATGCTCTTTTAAATTATGCAGTGTGATGGGGAGACGTCCTCTCTTGCAATCGCATGAATATTCACTGCCATGAACAGACTTCTCGAGATAATCTGGAAATGTAAATCTGCCCAGAGTAGTTGGCACACTTTGTGTATTAGCGGAAAGGACGGTATCCGCACAGTCCTTGTGCCGGGAATCTCAATGTCTGCAGCGTGCCTGGCATATCGGCATTCTGATTTTCCGAGGTGCCTGTCTCCGCTCAAACTTTTGCTACTTTCAAAAGCGAGGCTTTAGAGGGTTGGGCTGAGGGTGAGAGCTTAGGGTTATGAGCGTAACAGGCTGGTGGCACCTCGCTAAGAGCGCAAACTTTGCGTGAAGTCAGCCGTAACGGTGGCTAGTTAGGGCCCGCCTCCCACCTGCATGCGGCCTGGCCTGTACGAATACCAAGTCCTACACCTGCGGCACACCTGCACAGGAGGCGACCGAGGAGCCGTCAGCCATTGATATGTAAAAGTGCTTCAAAGGTCGGCAAATGGAGTGTCGAGGTAAACCAGGGAAGGCATTAATTTGCATATGAATGGCTGTAACACTGGTAAACTCATAGCTGTTTTCATAAGCAGAACGGGGGTTTCTGATTAAAGGTCTTTCAAGGGGTCCAGCTTTTTAGAAAACCATTTCAATTTCTAACATTTCAATTGAAAAGCTCTTGGAGTATGTGTCAAATACAAACTTTCGTCTGCGGCATAAAATAATGATTCGGTTTTATGATCATTTGTCATCGTTAACCGCTTCGCAGCGAATCTGCCAGGGATCACTACTTGTATGAATTTGACTATGATATGCTGGCGAATTGTACGTGAAAGCCTTGCAGTCACTGTATTTCACTGCAAATTTAATACGTGTGTCTTTGTGCCCATAACTAGCATATTAACTGAGTTTATTTTACTGAATTATCAGATTAAGTTTCAATTAGCATGGCAAATGATGTCATACACACTGCCTACATGGTACACCCGCATCAAATATTCTGCAGATTTAAAGATGAAAGCGCACAAATTCTCATATTTAAATATTTCCCATTAAACTCAAGGCCAGTCGACATTTGGGCCACCTGTCAGCAGAATGACCCATGGCTATGTTTTGGTCCTGTGTCAGATATTTTTTCCGTTGTTCTGCCACCAGATTTTCTGGATTGTTCCAAAGATACTTTGCTGCTTCCAGTATAATTCGCTATGGCCAGGAGTGTCTCAAGCCAGTTGTACCCTGAAGTACACCAGTACATGTACCTGTAAGGATGTACACCAGGGGTGTCAAATTCCAGTCCTGGGGGGGCCGGAGCCCTGTGTAGCTTAGTTCTTTTCTGTTCCACCACAAATGATTCAGCTCAAGAGCTGTGTGGTAATTAGCACAAAGAGTAGAATCAGGTGTGTTAAATGAGGGGAAACCCAGAAATGTGCAGGGCTCCAGCCCCCCAGGACTGGAGTTTGACACTGATGTACACAGTGTCACAGAATGAAAGTATGACTTAAGACACCACAAATAATACAGTTACTCTATTACAAACAGTCCAGAAGGGTTTTATATAGATTCTGTATACAGTATGTAGTGTCACGTTTGAAATGCTTAATTTCATTTTTCCCCTATAAAAAAACGTCAGTCTCAGTGTTACAATAACTGGCTTGGAGAATAAAGGTACAATAAGTAATCAACAGGAGTGTCTTCAGTCTTGTTATTGAAATGAGTCGGGGGGGTAGTAACTGGCGATGATAAGACTTTGCTTTCTCATTACATGCAAGAAGTGCGGCATTGTATAAAGCCCCACTATCTGTTTGGTGCAAAAAATAAAAATAATAAAACATCAGTAAACGTCTCTCCAGAGGATCAATGATGGAATAACACTGGGTTGGGTGACTGAAATGTACATCTAATGTGCACTGAATTATTTAGGAAGCAACTGTGCCATTTAGTTACTGTTTCCAGTAGAACAAATGCTTTGAGGGTATGCCATATAAAATGCATTATCTGGATCTGGGCATTGGTATGAATTTCTGTTCATACATTTGTGACTCAGTGCTTAATACCCAACAAAGCATTTGTTATTTTTCTCAGGAAAAAAATGGAGTGCCATTGTGACTGTGATCAGTCAACAGTGAACAGTGTGAACCGAAATGCTCACTCTGTTTGCAGAGTTTTGCACTGTGTTGTTCCTTGGTGGGGCACTGCATCATAATTACCTTCCTTTCCATATGCTGCTAGACCCAACTGTTTGTCTTTTGTTAATTGCAGCTCGCTCTAAAGATCTTCTTGTGTTTACTGTTCGGTTACACTTTCTATTTATTTTGATGTCAGTGAGCAAAGGATGAAATTGCATTACCCGTCAATATAGCTCCAGTGAACTGAGGTTTTAGGTGTAGCTTTATTTTGAAATCTTATAGCTAATCTATGTGTAGAATGAAATATGGAGTGAACAGTGGTTTGTCTTCATTAAGGCCTTGATACAATTAAGCCGTGGCCAATCAAAAAAAATATATACCGTCACGATCTCATAATGTGGCTGCTGGAGAGAAAGTCTGGACCATTGTCCTTTTAGACTATTTCACTACATCCATCAATCTTCCACCACTGCTAAAACATTACCGGGTGGCACTGAGCCTGGAGCTTGACCTGGGAAGCAGGGGGCAGGGGGTAGTGAAGGGAGTGCATCCCAATGCTGCCTTGGGTTTAGTGATAATTTCCTGTACCAGTACATTTATAGAACAGTATTTTGTTCTCTTGGCAATATTCTGTCATGCTTCACCTTAGCGAAGTAAAACATGTAAGTATGTCAGGCGATGTTGAAATAAGAACCCCACCCCCTGAGAGAATGCGGACCATAGAAACTGGGCTTCCTTGCTAAGGTAAACGGCTCCAAGCCACCCTCACAAAGCTTTCCTTTCGATGCCCTAATCAGACTGAGTGCTTTCTTCATTTAACAGTTATCTACACTTTATCAGAGATCATGCTCATCTCACTGGCTGGTGCTTCAATCTTTCTGTTGGGATGTTTGGTGCCTCACTTTGGTTAAATTGTGTCCTAATGAAGTTAGTACTTATTGGGCCCTGATTCATCACATTTGTAAAGATTTGCTTAGCAAGACATGTCACCTGGAAGCGTTGCCTTTTAGCGTGTCCCTTATTGTTGTTTTTTTTTCCTGTAAATTTTGAAAATGAGGTAGACTTTGTAGCCTGTTCAGTTACCCCCCCAGATCTCAATAACATCCTGCAATCACTCCTCAATGATGGGGCGACATGGAATACCCATTAGAACCAGTCATGGGAGTTTTATTTACACAAAAATGTTATGAGGGTGGAACAAAAAATGATTGGTTCAGAGAGTTAACCAATCAGATTGTAGAGGCGGTGGGTCCAAACAGCTAGAGGAGGTGGGATCAACCAATCAGATATCTTGGTCCTGCCTCCTGTAGTTGCTTGGACCCACATCTTCTACAATCTGATTGGTTATCTCTCTGAACCAATCAATTTTCATTCTGCCCTCAGAACATTTTTGTGTAAGTAAAGCTCCCATGAGTGTTAGAACCAGTGAAAAGTTCCGCCTGTTCCAATGAACCGTA